TTCCTTTTTTTTCCTTGCCCCCCCCCCCCCCCCGCCGCTCCGCGGCCATATTGGCCTAAGTTCTCTCTCTCTACACACACACACACACACACTTTTTTTATTTTCTTTGGATGCATTTGTATCTAATTTGAATTTTTATGGTTTTGCCTTTTATATTGTAGCAGTCTGTGTTTTTATGAGGGTTTCTTTGTCTCCTTTTTTGAGGATATATGTTAGAAGCTTATGTTATGTTTGAACCTTGCTACATATACATAAAGCTTTACATAATGGGTTATATAATGCTACATGTTGCTCTATCATTTGTCAGTTTAAAACACAGTTAACATTTTCATCCAATCTTTTCCCTTCACGTCATTTTATGTAATCTTTATATACCATTTTTATGTACAAGTAGAATAATTTGTTTTGTTTTGCTTGAGTTCTGGTTTATAATGTGATATCCTTGTACTATTTATTTATGGTTCATCACTGTTTGTGGTCTAACAATAGATCTTTATTTGCAGTCTCGCAATGATAGCAAGGAAAAGGCCTATGTACTATTCCTCCGTCCTCCCCGCACTACTCGATCTTAATGTGAACTTTGAGACAGTGAAGGCTCGACACACTATCAGTATTCAGTATTCTATAAGAACTGCATTTTTAGGATTTATGAGGTGTACTCATCCTATCATTGTGGAGGTAATGCTTTATATAAAATATTGTTGATGTATAGTAAGACCACATAAGCTTGATCTAGAAATGTCAAAGTCTTAGGTTTCCGTCAAAATCTTTCCAATGACGTCTATTTAAAAGCAAATTGTTCTTTTGTAACAATCCGTCTTCTATGCCCAAGCCATTATATTATAAGCACTGTCCATTTTTGGTTAGCATTTGTCTACTTACCCTCTCACAGATTTCTATTGCGTCCTCAGGATTTGAGCCTATGATCTTAAGTGAGAGACTGAGCTTATCTTACCCTTCACGGAATTCTATGTTGTCCCCGAAATTTGAACACATGAGCTTTCCCTTAAGACTAGATAGAAATCCGTGAGGGGTAGGATGGATTCAGTCTTTCCCAGAGTGGATGGTATATAAGTTAACAACTTGGGCATGGAGGTCGGGTCGCTACAAAAAATGAGCGTTTTTTTTAACGACTTGGTCTCTATACCCAAGTCGTCATATCATATGTACTGTCCATTTACTCCCTCATGGATTTCTATTGCGTACCCTAAGATTTGAACCCAAGATCTCTATCTAATGAGAGATTTAAATTGAATCCTAGTACACACTTACCCATTCGCTGATTTTTACTGCGTCCCTCAAGATTTGAATCCAAGACATTTGCCTAAAGAGGGATTTAAGTTGAATTCTGGTACAAATTGGACAAACTCTAATACTTGTACAATTAGTGCCGGGATTCAATTTACGTCCCTCTTTAGGCAGAGGTCTTGGATACGAATCCTGGGGGCGTGATAGAAATCCGTGAGGGAGTAGATGATCACACACAACGGACTATATGTATGACATAACGGCTTGCGCATAGAGGCTAAGTCGTTACATCTTTTTCTACTTTCATGTTGGTGGAAGCTCTAATTGAACTTGTGGTCTTTCTTTCTCATAGGGAATGCTTCACATGTGGTCTTAAGATATAACTTTAGTTTTCGTAAATATATTATGCAGTTTACTTGAGCCATTATGTTAGAAATTACCAGTTCATTGATCGACTTTCAATTTGCTCGTACCATCATAGTTAGATGCCAAATTACAAGGAATATAACACTGACTTTCATTCTTTGTAACATTTGAACTTTCTTTTTTTCTGGTAATATGTTAATGTATGCATGCATATATGTTGGTAGCGACATTGTGTCAGATCTAAAAACATAAAAACAAAAATGTCAATCTCTAATGTTTGATGTATCCTTTAAACCCCTTTGTTCTTTTCCCCCAGTCGAGAGAGAGATTGCTTAAGGCATTGCGAGCCATGAATGCAGGAGATGCTGCTGATCAAGTCATTAGACAAGTGGATAAAATTATGAGAAGTAATGAGCGTGCTTCGCGGGATTCGCGGTTGAGCAAGGTATTTCTCTTGGAAGAAGTCATTGTTTCAAGTATTGCTAGTTCTTTGGAGTCATTCTGATGTAGTCCGGTGGATTGTTGCATCCTGATATCTATTTACAAATGCCTTAGTAACTTAAGTCTTTCTTTTTCAGGATGACCAGCAATCAGATCAGCTGCCAATTTTAGGAGATCTTATGAAGAAAAGGTCGGCTCCAATGGAGAATGAAGATTCAAATACTGCTAATGATGCAACTTGTAAAAGATTACATTATGGTGGCCCTCATGGTGTCACAGATTCAAGATTTGACGTGAATGATGCTGGGCAGGATCACATCAATGGGATATCTCCTAAGCTTCCTTTGTTGGATCGGGATCTGACTCCTGTTGAACAAATGATAGCCATGATTGGTGCTTTAATTGCAGAAGGAGAAAGGGGTGTTGAATCTCTTGAAATTCTTATATCCAACATTCACCCAGATTTACTTGCAGATATAGTCATAACTAATATGAAGCATTTGCCGAAGAATCTGCCTCCCCTGGCATCACTGGGTAACCTGCCATTAAATCGTCAATGTGATTCTTCAAGTCCATCCCGGGGAGTGGCATCAAATGGTTCCATTTCTATGCAGACTTTGGAACTTGCAGCTCAAATACCTGTATCTTCATCAAGCATGACAAGCATTCCATCTTCTGACATGCTATGTTCCAGTAATCTTCCTTCTGATTCCAAGCGTGACCCACGAAGGGTAATCCTTGTCCAATTGTGTAACAGTTTTTTTCTTCGTTTTTAATTTAGTTGGTTCTTTTTGCTCTTGAGTTCATTTCCTTAATATTTTGTGTGGTTAATGTTTAAATAAATGGTCCAGGATCCTCGTCGACTTGATCCTAGGCGTGTGGTGGCACCTGTTGAAGTTCCACCACCATCTGTTGTGGAAGATAACACAAGTGCTATCCAGGGTCATGCTTTACAATCTGATTTTGATGATTCTAGTTCTTTCAGTCAAACCCCTGTGCTGCCACCACCTCTGCCTAGTTCTGAAAGCGTTTCAGTGTCTCCTGTTCCGAAAACTGCAACTGATTTGAATTTGTTAGAATGTTCGGTAAAATTAGAAGCTGGCCAATCGACTCCCAAAGTGGAACTTCAGGATATGGAAGACACAGAGATTATAACAGATAGTAAAGGAAATGCTGCTTCGGATATTCCCCTGTCCACTCTCAGCAAAGTTGAGGACACTGTAGCACAAACATCATTGGATGTCACAATGCTTGATGAGGCTTATTCGCCATCGTCACAAGAAATGGATGATGATCTGTCACCACCTATTTCAAATTTGGAGGTCTCTGAAGTTGTGTCTGAGCAGTTGGCCGTGCTTCCTCCTTATGTGGAGCTGACCGTAGATCATCAAAGAACTGTGGTCAAACTGGCTCTTGAACGAATATTTGACTCATACCAGAATATACAAGGAATGGATTTCAAGCAGACACAATTGGCATTGCTT